TTACTTTGAATTAATTCAGAAAAAGACAAGATTACTTTGAATTTGATGCAGCCCAGATTTAACTTCGCGAAACTTTCAAAATTTGGTTGTCCATGTCTGGTTTCTTTTTCATAACGTTTAAAATAAGAAAAATGAAATATTCTGGATTTTTAAAATTCCAGTTTTATGTAAATTAAACTGTCAAATTCTAAAACCAAATTTAATAAATTTAAATTAACAATGTAAATAACTATCATCAAATATTTTTTTTCAATTGCGTTAATCAATTAGCAAGTAAAACCACACTTCAATCGAGCACCGAATTTTTAAATTTTCAGATCTGACAAATTAAATTTATTTCCTAGTATATACAGCAGATTAGCTGCTCTAAAAATAGTCCTCTGTACAAAATGTCTAAAGACATGTATAAAATAACACCCTTGCAAACTTATACAATATCATTCCTTAAAGTATATTTTCATATATACAACTCTTGGGAACAGAGGAATTTGGTAAACAAAAAAGACCTTTTGGAACTTTTGGATATAAGTAAAAGAAAATGGTTCATGTATTAAATTAGTTAGCAACTGATAGTTAAAATTTGGAGAAAAATACCATTCTGTAAAGATCAAAATACTGTTTTATTGGAAATCTCAGAATTTAAAATGATTTAATAAACTAAGGAGCATAAAGCAATACTTAAATACCAGCATACGCATTCAGGACTAGGGCAAGCTCAAAGCATCGTAAACAACTAACTCAAAGACAGAGGAGGTTAACGTTTTTAAATAATTTAATAAGCAAGCAATAATAGCAAAGAAATATTTTTATAAATGTCTAAATATATATAAAGATAAAAAAAGTTAAAATTTTGTATAAGGTTTTTATTGTTTACATTCATAAGATACACATGATTGTCTGGACTGTATATAATTATATAAGCCTATAACAGTTAGGTGAATAGTTAAAATAGTTTTGAAACAAAATAAACTAAAAATGTATAAATATCTTACATATAGTACTGTACAACTATAAAATCAACCTATCCAAAATTAGATATAATGAGCGGTGCTTACTGAACATCTGGATACTTGTGAAAGAAATGTAAAATATTAAAAATAAATATTATAAAAGAACATATTAAATATAAATAAAATATATGAGGAATGGAATTATAAAAATCTAGGAAAAAATATATCAGACTAACTTCCGTACATAATATAGATCAGTTATGAGATAATGCGTAATAAAGTACTTCAGCATAGAGTAATTTAATTATGTATTTAAGTTAATAGACAAACAATAATAACTTATTAACATGATAACTAGAGGTATATCTTGGAGTGATAGGTTCCCTTTAATTTGATATTGTTAATTGAATATAGTATTAAGACAAGATTTTGATTTAGTATTCTTATACAAGATTTTGAAGATGACATAAAAGTACAGCATTCAAAGTAATAATGTGAATATCAGACTGGGCTGAATGTTAACCATCTGTAACACTTAATACATGATGTGAAGCCATAATAAATATAATGAAATATATCTGGGCTTAATAAACGTACTTAAAGTTATAATGTGAAATAATTTGGCGTGGTTACAACAGATATTTGTCACAGGGTGTTTAGATAAAGATGTAATTTAATTAACAGAAATTTATAATTCAGGAATTACGAAGAAAAATCTTTAGTATTGCACTAATTTATAACTCATAAATAAAGCAATGCATTAAAATAGGCTTATAGTAAAAGAAAGAATAATTAACTTTAATTTTTTACAAAAATTTATAGTGTAAATGTTGAAGATACTTAGCATTTATTTAATAAAACCTTAAGGGGGGCTCCTTTAGAACAAACTTCGGATAGTTAAGATCTTATAGAAAGTTCTCATTGATTTTCTTTGACTCTTATAGAGCATTCTATTAGTCTGCTGAATAGATACAAAATGCCTAAGAATCATATTTAAAACTTAAATTTTAATAACACAAATTGTAAGTAAGATACTAAAATATGATTTGTTGTACATCGTGCGGAAACTCAACCTTTTCTTTTGCAAGTGAATCATTATCTAGAGACCATATAGACACCAAAGGTAAAACCTCAATGTATGCCTTGGCTCTCAGAGACTAAATCAGACCTCCACGTGCAGACAGCTTTTGGACTAAAAACGGCAAGCAGATTGCTTTCATACCAGGTATGCACCATGCCACTCATGAATGGTTTCAAAGGAGGCTGAGTACCATACATGTCCGAAAATGGCAATATTCAAGTGTGTTTGATTTGATCTTTGAAGCAAGACACACATTGTATCTCCTGTGGGTTCTATATGGTTCTATATGGCTAATGATTAATCTGCAACAGAAAGAACTTGAATTTACACATCATGTACACTTGCACAAAAAAGGGACAGTTCTATATCTCCCTTTCTACTGGACCGATTGTCGAAATTTAACTTGCATTTTCCATGTCTCGAAAGCGCGACTTAGGATATGTATTAGATTTATGTATAGCATTATTCTAACATAGGTATTTTGACACAAAATCAGACTTTTCCTGAAATAATATACCAATTGCTTTCCATATTTCGATTTTACGACTGAAATAATGCTAATGTGCCTTCTATTGTAAAATTCGCAAGAGTGGTTTTTAAAGAATTAGATCTCAAAATTTTAGCTGCTCCATGTTAATTGAATTTGGTATATATTTAGCAATATCTCTTTTTTTATTAAATTCATTTGATTCTTACTTTCACATTTAGAAATTTAGATTCATTCCAAATAAAATGCGCCATTTTTTATGATTTATTTTAAATTTGTATTTAAAAAAATTTATAAATTTTTCGAAAAACATTTTGAATAAGATTCTATAAAATTTTTACCATCATCTTAAAATAGATGTTGATACTTAAGAGTGTTTTATTCAAAATTTCCTTAGATATCCGGGAATTTGTATGTTGGCACGTTTTGAAATTTGGCATATTCCTTATAAGCAATAATAACGCCAAATGTGGTTTACGCACTTTGATAAAGTTATTTGAAAGAATAAATTTTCTTATCTTTTTATTCATCTCGTGCACAATGAGAGGAAAATTGGTTACCATAAATTAAGAATTTCGCCAAGTGAATTATTCATGGCGCAAACTGATAAAAATGAGCCAAGAAAAATTTTTAAATTTCTCACCAAAAATTACAAAAATTAGAACATAGGCACATTTTGAGTCGTAAAATCGAAATATGGAAACAAATTGGCATGTTATTTCAGAAAAAGTCCGATGTTGTGTCAAAATACCTGTGTCAGAATAATGCTATATATAAATCTAATGGATATACTACGTTGCGCTTTCGAGGCACAGAAAACATAAATTTCGACAATCCCTCCAGTAGAACAGGAGATATAGAACTGTACTATTCCCCCCCTTTTTTTTTAAAATTTTTTTTTGAGCAAGGTGCCCATTTCAATACTAATTTACAATTTTGAGTTATTTAAATTTTAAGATATTCTCTGATATAATTTCGAAAGCTTCTGCATCGAAAAATAAACTGTAAATACATTTGAAGTTGACTTTCGTACTCCCTGCGATACAATGTTTTGCAGATTTATGGACAATTTCATTTCAGCTCACCATAACAGATATTGCACTTTTTATTGCATTGTTGACAATTTGAATTTAAGCAAACTGCTAGTATTGTTTGCTAAGCTCTGTTCTAAATACTTTCATTAACAAAATGCTTCGGGTTATTCTTCCTTTCATTGCAAACGGTCTTTCAAGAGATCATTTCATTTTTAATTCATGCATTTCGAAATTAATAAGGAATTTTTCTAGGTCACGTATACCAGCCAAATTTCTGTGCTATTACCGAATCTGTCTCCATATTTTTAAATAAATATAAATAAACTCTGAACATTATAATACATGAAACAGATAATATATTAAAGTGATCACTAACTGTGATTGAGTCAGGGAATTTCAAAAGGAAAAAAAATGCAGGATAATTTTGGGTAACATAAGCAGAATAGAACTGTCAGCGTATTAAGTTCCAAAAGACATTTTTTTGTTTACAATTAACATGCGACCACTAAATCAAAAACAAAACTTACAATATTAGACAAAACACTCACATCAAAAACAATGCCACTCCAATAGCTTAAACATTCCCACAACTGTCTAGCAGTCCGAGAAGTTCAAGGAGACACATTAGAAAAAAGTAGTTGAAATTTTAGCTTTTGGATGGGCAACACTGTTTACAACAAATATCCTGTAAAAATTGTAGTAAAATTCTATAAACTGATATATATGTGTATATATATATACACATCTGGAATTCGATTTCTGTAATTAAAATGCACTGTAAATAAGTCTTACAATAAATATCTAAAATACAAATCACACTAAACTGTAAAAATTTAGGAAGTAAATCCCAAAGCCAAACATTTACTTTGGCATATGGAACATAGTGTGTATTTTAAAACACTATACTTTTCACGAATTTGTCACGATGTCACTATATGGAAGAAACAACTAACGTTATCAAAGGCACAAACAATTTCGGCTTAATCATAAAACAAACAAAGTAAAACCATCACATTGAGCATTTCTTCTATTTTCATATTAAAACACACAAGTGTGTGTTAAGTATATTTGTACCAAGGTAGCATGATTTTATCTACTATTAATTCAACAAATGTATTTAAATTATGAAATAATGTAGAGTAATCCTGCAAATGTTTCAAAACTCAGATATGTTTAAATTTCAGTAACAATAAAATATGCCAAAGTTTGTAGTCAACTTCAGTCATTAACAATTGAAACTTTAATGGACAGTTATGTTAATAATTTATTAAAATGAAATTTTTATGTTTCCAGGCAGCTCTATGGAATGATTTCGTTAATTTCCAGAAATTAATTGAAAAATATCCTGTCATTTCTAATTTTAAATCTGTTCATAATGATTAAGCAATAAAGTAGGCACGTCCTGGAATGATTAAATATGAATTAATTTAAATAAAAATACGTACTGATTATAAAATAAAAATTTTTATTGCAGACACCAAATGGAGGGGGAAAAATCAAAAATAATTTATTAAATTACATCTGAGCTTAAAAACATTTGGCAAACGGTGAGAAGAGAAGAGATCCAATTTATGATCACACTTAGGTCCATAAAATATACAGAAGTTTCATATTGCTGCGATACCAGAAGTCGAATTCAATGAAATGTACAAAAATATCTAACAAGGAAAGAATAATATCTTCAGCTCGCATCCTCATAACTATCAGGAGTAGAGGAATAACTTTCAGCGCAAGAATCGCTAAGCGAAATATGATCCAGAAGTTCGTAATCCTGAGAATTGAGGGTTGAAGAAGACATGTTGTGGCTCAGAGGCTGATTCCATAAATTGGGCAACCTCAGTCTTCTTGCACTGTAGCTGGAAAATGGAGATTTGGAGGCATCTGGAACTTTTGAGGCCTGGTCTCCTGTGCAGGCCATTTTTGAAGTGTCATCAACGGTGGGAGACAAGAAGGAAATTCTTTCTTTTGACGGTTCACGACACTTAAGTCCTAAATCAGAGGGAGGTGCAGTCAATCGTTGGACGGGCTGCGCTTCGTCAGGAGGTGTTGCAACTCGCCTATTTAGCGTTTCAATGGAAGAAGTTGGTAGTTCCTCCAAGAAATCAAAACAGGCGATGGCTTCTTTTTCTTTGTCCCCGAATCGGTAAAAAAGCTCACGTCGGCCCATGATGGACGATCTCTTTTTCATTTCGTACAAAGGGTTATTTGCAGAAGCTATGGAATTAAAAAAACAGGTCCATTAATCAATGCTAAACAATAAGATTACTAAATATATGATAATTAAATAAATTACTACAAAGTGTAGTTTAGTTTCACAGCTTCTTATAGTTTATCTTTTTTATACATTAACTAGCATGATTTACCAATGTATTTAATATTATATTATAAGGTATTTTCTCTGATTTTTCTGAATGGCTTCGTTATGTAGCGGTAGCACATAACAGAATTAAAAGCTTAATCTTTAACTAAGTTCAAAGAATTTGAAAAAAATCACAGTTTTATGCAATAATTCTAAGTTTGCTTCCCGTGTGTTATTGAACACAAAGTAGAATTCAAAAATGGAAGAAGAATTTCGGTTAAAAAATCTTTCTTTAAAATTCAGTTTAGAAGGAAACAAATTAATGAAACGATTATCATCAGCTTTTGAATTGATGAGTACAGCTATAGTATTCTTTTGGAATGAGGTCATTCAAAATCTATAGATTCAAAACGTTCTCTCAGATTTGTGATCAGCGAACAGAAATCTTAAATCCCCAAATACTATCCTCTGTGGCGTTCTAAATCGAAATTGGGGTGTAGCTTAGTATAAATAATCCGTCTGTTAGCTTTCATGCCAAAGGTCTCTGACCAAGAAGAAACGCATCCTCGCATTGTTATCTATGATGTATTTCAATGTATGGTTTATATTCGAATATAGAGATTAGCGAAAACAACGAACACAATAAGCACAGCACAGTATTATATTTCGATGACAGATTAAACTACTATAAATGCCTTATGACAAGCAGAATGGTGAATAAAGCAGAATCTAGGTATTTCTGGTTTCCTGTAAACAGCTAAAAATAATAAACTTAAGTTATAGAGGAAAATCTCACGTGAGTCATTAATACATTTCAATCCTGTTAATATGGATGTTCTGCTGAGTTGTAAAGAGAACACGTTTATTAAATACTCAACTCAGCGGTTTCAACTCATTTCTAAACAGCAAATAATTTTTTGAAAGGATGTTAAAAGAAATTTATTTACACAACCTCCAGGAAAATAAAAACGTCACGAGAAAATTTCTTTTTGTAAGCTAAATTAATTACAATTTAAGAAGCAGATTTTCAACATACACGGTTTTAGCCCAGAATAGCTAAAATTTCACACTTTTGAGCGAATGTTTCAAATTGAAGGAAAAATTACATCTCGTTTTGACAAAGGGATTCTAACACAATTATTATAAATGTATTCAAAGATTACAGCGAAATACACAAATAATGAAAATTTAATACCTTTCACTTTATGTCGTCTTTCTCTGCATATCCTATGAAGATGAGAATTAGTTTGAATAACCAAGACTTCATCATCGTCATTATCCTCATCTGTGCTACTGCTGCCACTGCTGCTTGTTGGCGCTTTCAAAGAATCCAACAGATTGATTCTGGCCTAAAAATTACATAAAGGGAATAGATATCAAAATTACTGGTTTCAGAAAATTGGTTCAGAACAGTCATGAAAGATAATATGCGAAAAAAAAGTTCTAAACCAAATCTAAAACTTCGCATTCTGGAAAGAACACCAGTAACACACGAACAAACAAGTACATAAATATTATTACAGTATGTTACATTAAAATAGGCACTTCAAGGCCTTAGCGACCCTCCTCTGTTTACGATCGTACCGTGTGTTGTTATCAACGCCCAAAAAAATTAAGGGATTTTTAACAAATTAGAAGATTCAACTCCCCCCCCCCCCCACAGCAATCGTTACAATGGTTATCAAGCATAATTTTAGCGGAAAGTGGCCTTGAAGTGTGTCTACCCCCCAAAAAAATACTATAATTCTTGTTTAAGTGGAATTAAATTTTGTAACTCTAATACGACCTACCGGATGCTCATTCTGAGCTGCTAAATAAGCTTAAAGAGAAATTCCAAGATAAATTTGCGCCATTTCTGGCAAAGCAACTGTTAAACAAATTAGCAGTAAATAGAGAAACTAACAAGACAGACTGTTTTTGAGAACATCGCCCAGTTCAATGTACTAAGCCTAAATTACTTACTGTTGTGGCGATTCCGACTACGACCACGACTCGATAATAAAACGGAACTATTTCTGACAGCAACGTTGCCGGTTCCTGAAATAAAGCCCGAAAGCACATGACGTAATACAATCCGGACGTGGGAATCTCAGAAGAGAAATCGGAGGCAAGGGCTGATTCCGAGGTTAGATATATTTCTTGTATACTGTTCGTGTCGCCATCTATTAGCACAGACGCGCTACGTGGCCCAAGCGTCCTTGAAAGTGGTAAATTAGCCTGGAGGTCAAAATGCGTCTATTATATAGTATCGGGCATCGTACTGCCAGGAAAACACGCTTCTGCCCGTCTCGCCCGATATTCAGGTTTCTTTCGCAGTAGAATATCTTACTGGCTCACTACACACTTCCCTCCGAGTATTTTCAATGCGATATAACAGACGCGCTAGAAGCGTGGGAACGGAATCTAAGTTGTTGTGGCTGATCCTTTTACGTTAGTAGGCTGCGGCTGATCGTTACGTTAGTAGGCTACTTTCTGAGCATAGCTAGTAGTCCCGGGTTTAGCCCGTTTCCTTTGGTATTGCTTTGCCATCTATTAGCATAGATGAAAAAAGCAGCGTTACGTGACTCAAGTATCCTTGAAGATGATTTAGGGTTGAACTTAGGAAATGAACGTCACGCTTTTCCCTGCTTCGCGCATATGCAGATCTCTTTCCTAGTGAGAGCGTCTGACTGGCCAGCGAGACCGCTACATTGTCTTGCGAAAATAATTTTACAGACAGAAAAATTTAATTGACTGGACTGATTTAAAAGGGAGCGCAAATTCGATAATATGTAATTCAGTAAATATAGATGAGGTATTTGATGACAGGTCAAGACAAAACAAAGTTTTGTGACAAAAACAAGAATGGAATTCGTAAACCTTTAAGTACTGAAAATAAATGGCCGTATTTACTTGAGATCTTCAAGAATGATGACATCAGCTTCAAAAATACTTTCCAAATTAGCAAAGTTTGCTGTATGTTTACCGCGTACAGAAGCTTCAGTAGAAAGGAAATTACTAATTATGAACAATGCCTGAATGAACCTGATATCGGCGAGAACCTGAATATCGGCGAGACGGGCAGAAGCGTGTTTTCCTGGCAGTACGATGTCCGGCTTTCTAGTAATTGAAATGAGTTTATTATTCATGAGTGTCATGAACATCCGAACGCAGAGAAACCTTTCCAGTGACAGTGGTAAGATTAGAATTTCATTAACAATATTTTACTTAATTATTTAATTTGGGATGATTCCCAAGTACTAGATTACGCAATACAGTATTCTTTAAATATAAAAAAAGGGGAGTGTGGATATATGTATACACATATATAAATGCATCAAAGCAAAAAGAAACCTAAAATATAATTAGGTAACCACAAAAATGAACTAGAATTAAATATCACACCAATGCACTACAAGTTCAAGAGAGAATTAACTTTTTCTGATCAAAGTATCGAGCAAATTCCATAGACTTAGCACACTAGAAAAATAATTTAAGTGGCGTAATTTAATTACAGTAGCGTAAATTATATAATGAAACTTGATGTCATTATTTTTTCATGAATTTTCACCTGAATCCAAATATGAATAATCTAAGCTGATTTAAAATTTTGTTCGATAGCGCCCGAATATAAAGGAAAAATGAGTCTAATTATCATGTTGTGTCGTTAAGCGCCCTTTCAGATCCAGTAATTCAACAAACAGTCGATTTAGGAAGTGGAAATCAGTTTGTCAGACTGGAAATCGCTACCATTTTACTGCAGTAAAAAACTTTCCCTACACCACCAAGGACTGGATCTGTGTCATCCATAGCATCCAACTTAAAAAATAATTCTCCAAGTTCGGAAAATGCAGTAATAAGCACTCTCCAAAATATCTCCATTTATTGAGACAACCGTGACTTTTCTCATACCTACTCAAACTACGACCTATGAACTGACTTCATACTCCGTAATGAATGACAGCTACACCAGTACTACGCACTGGTGTAGCTGTCATTCATTACTATGTACCATGAAACATGTCATTCATCACTATGTACCATGAAACGAACTCACAAACTGTCTGCTGAACTATGAACTGTACTATGAATGAACTTATAAACTGCGCACGTGTAACAGAAAACGAAATAAATAATGAACCACGTACTATAATCCCTCTCCCCCATCAACAAAGTTCCAAACAGAAACACGAAAGAAATATATATTTATACACTCGTAAATAACTTAATGTATTTATCCAACTGCAAAGTACCCGTATAAAGTATATCTGACGTCAATTTTGTATGTAATGCAGATTATGTACCATTAACATGTAACTATTATGAATGTTGTAATGTAAACAAATGGCGTCAATGTTCTTACTGGGAGTGCACTTCGATAGATGGTTAGTGCAAAGGAGCGATAACACTTTTGCCCATGGCGATGTTTGGTGCCTCCCGTTTTTGTCTGTTTGTCTGCAGTAAAAATATATACACGGATGTTTGAACTTATATCTAAATCATAACTAGCTAAAGCTTACTTAGTTAAATGTCCTAATTCGGCAAGTTTTAAGCCCGCAGGCATAAATTATTCAAGGTGTTAATTATGGAATCATTTATTTATATAGCCGATAATAAAATCGGCAATTAAAGTAGTATTCGCTCGTTTATATAAAGTAGAATCTCTTTCTCATGTTGAATGTAATGCGGATGCTAGAAGGAAAAGTAATGGCTGTTAAGCACTAAAGCCTTACTTCCTAATTTAAGCAACATTCCTGCAATATTAGCCATAGGTATTATTAATTCCAAAAGAAATACATTTCTGTCCACTATTAGAAATATAGAAATAGTAAGTTAATTCTCTTACCTTTGGATCACAAAGATCCGGATTTGCTTGGAGATGAATCCATGCAGTTCCACAACCTTCTTTCAGACGATTTTGACGAGCCACTATTCGATCACGCTTCCATTGTTGCCTTTTTGACATAGCTTCGGACCTGGAAGGCGACTGAAGAGGGCTATTCCCACTTTTAATAATTATTTTTGTAGGGCTTTTGATTTTGGCAGCTTTAGAACGTTCTCTCAAGTGCGTAACAGAAGCTGGAAGACTTGTCGATGGCGTACTGTTGTTTGGTATAACTTCAGAGTGAGACAGTTTCGAACTAGAATTTGATTCGGCATTATCGCTGCTAATTTGTAATACTGGGTTATTATTATTTGCAGGAACTTTGATGTAACAGTTTATTTTGGCATAATTATTTGACGAGGATTCGTGAGAACCAGAAGATGGAACTTTGGAAGAAACTTTTGTAGGAGAGATCGGACTGAATTCACATGCATCAGACGAACGCCGAGCTGTCGTCAAATCACTCTTCTTTGCATGATCAGGTACAACAGGAACAGCAGAAACAGCTAAAGTAACAGGCCGAGTTGGTTTCACAAAACCTGTGGGTTTCGATTTATCAGACTTTGTGAGGAGATTTTTTGACGTAATCACGAACTGCGACTTTTTGCTGCAGCTTGGTGATTCCGTCCCTTTGTTGGGATGAATGTCCTGAGATTTTGCGGGAGAGAAATGGTCTAAACTTCTAAGGGAACCGATGGTGCAAAGTTTATAGAAATCTCCATTAAATTCCTTAGCTTCCGAATCTAAGCTTTGAAATTCTGTATCATCAACACAATCAACACAGTTCTGATCACTGTTAGCAACTCTTTGCTTTTCATCATCAACTCTGGAAGCATGTGGAGTTGCTGAAGAGCAAGCCTGAAGGCTACAGTTTGGCGATGAATTCGATCGGAGTTTTGGTTTCGGTGGGATTGAGCTGGTAGGATATGACATTAGCCTCATCCTTGGTTGAGAAGGGATTTGGCTCACGCCTGGATCAATGGGAAGAGATGCTTTCCTTTTAGAAGATAGTTGCTGGGTCATCTCTCCGATTTCTTGCACCGGTTCTAAATTTGGAACCTTTAAAAAAAATCAAGAATTATATAAAATACAGACATTTCAATTACATGCATTAAATACTTCGTTCAAAAGTAAATATATGAAGTTTCCACTAACCATAATTTTAGAAACGTTGTTGTAAACAACCTCTTTTTGCAACCACCGCTCTACAAAATCTTTGTGCTCTAAATTTTCGTAGTCAGCATCACTGGCACTACTCAAATCAGGATCCTACAAAAGTAAAAACTGATTAACGTTTGAATCCATATAAGGATAAACTCATGACTAACAAAGAAAACAATGAATAACAAAACAATAATTCGTTGTACAACAGAATGCAATAAGCTTCCAATTGTCAGTTATTTCTTACTTAAAATCCATACTTATTCATTCATCATATATTTATATATTCACTCGTTATATATGCATATATTCACTTGTCATATATGCATGCCATATTTAGGCAGTCGGGCACACACATAAAGCTTGGCATAAATGATGACACAAAAGAGGCTAGCTGTTTGGTTCCACATGTTTATTCAATTCAAATGCGTAAATCATTATTCTTTTATATTCCTCAAGATTACATATTCGATAGTAATATGAACTAAATAGTACTAACTTTAAATTTACTGCGACATATTGTTCAAACAAAGGGAGGCAGATGGGAAGACCGGAAGCATAGGTCTTAACAGCAGTTAGAAAGAAAGAGGGAGAAAGCGGTCTTGACTAAAAATGGCGCGAACTCTGCATTTATAGCAGCGATTACGTAACATGCCAGAATGTTCTCGTCGGAATTTTGGTTTTGTTCTTTTGATTATGGCAAAGTACTCGAAGGCCTATGGAGAGGGGATGCCTTGCATTCGCGGAAGACTTCCTAAGAGAAACTGGCTCGTATATACGTATCACAAAGCAAAAACCACGAAAATGCCCATGCAGCAAACCCATTCCCCGGGATTCGAAACCCCAGACCAAACTAACAGTGTTTAGCTACATCACCGCTCGTCCACCTTTGGAATTTTCAGCAGCTTAAAAGTCTAAATGCATACAATATGTTTTCCTTTAAGATATTGTTACGAAATGTACAGGCGCGGTAAGATAGCTTCCACGCAAAGCAGTTTTAGGATTGCCATAAAATAGCATAGAAGGCAAGGTTGCCACATTTGGCGATAAAGCACCCCTTTGGCGACATTAGGCGACAAAATTGGCGATATGCCATGGACGGATGGAGAACCTTCTGGAACGAATTCTTACCGGTTTAGCCCAGAATGTTCTCGAACACAAGCCGAAAGCTACTATATAAACCCTGCTGGTCCGCAGTCAGTTAGTGTGTCTCGGAGAGTGTGCCTCGTCTAGCGAGCCGTTCGGAGTCGATCGAGTTGACAGCCAGGCAACGAGTGCCGAGTGGATCGTCGAGTGCACCGAAGAGTCTCTTAGTGTATCGAGGTAGTGCATCGTCGAGAGAGCTTGTTGAACTCCGGGAACGACTGAACCGAAGAGTCGGGAGCCGTGCTCTGTGTGTCGTCGAGTGCATCGCGAGTTGTAGCGTGGAGAGTTTCGAGAGTACGTGGAGTTCCGAGAACGACCGAGTAGAGTCGGGAGTTGTGCTCTGGTGCTTTGCAGTGAAGCCGTCTCTACCGTGATAGCCTGATAACCTGAAGGCTGTGTCAAGAAGAGTGCCTCGTCATGTGGGCGAGTGAGTGTGCCTCGTCTCGTTTAGTCAGTCCGTCGGAAGTCGATCGAGTTGACAGCCAGGCAGCGAGTGCGAAGTGGGTCGTCGAGTGCACCGAAATAGACTCGTAGTGTATCGCGATTAGCGGTGCACCGTCGAGAGAGCGTGTTGAGCTCCGGGAACGACTGAACCGAAAAGTCGGGAGCTGTGCTGTGTGTGTCATCGAGTGCATCGCGAGTTGTAGCAAGGAGAGTCTCGAGAGTACGTGGATTTACGAGAACGACCGAGCAGTGTCAGGAGCTTTTCAGTGAAGCTGTTTTCATCGTGATAGCCTGAAGGCTGTGTCGCTGATTGTTCCAGCGAGTGTATAGCAGATCTTCGACGACTGTAAAAGTGTTTTGGAGCTGTCCTGATTAATATTGGTAAATAAAGTGTGTTTCGATACCTCCTCAAGTGTCGTCGTTATTCACTCCAAATCTGCACGAACCCGTGAAGAGAATAACGTAACATGAATTTTACAAAAGTATAGAAATTGAAACATACCTCAGAGCCTTTGCGACTAGTGCGATTTAAGTCTATATCATCTGTTTCATCACTTATTACATGAAAAGATGTAGAAGACTGCAAAGAACTCATAGATGAACTACGACTCGGAGACGGCCAAGCAAGATGCTGCAAAAATTAGAAAAAGTAAATAGGTTATCAAACAAGTAAATAATTATAATAAATAAAGCCATGCTGCTAAATATTAAAATGAAAATACATAAATTAGCGTTTCTCACTAAAAATAAGTTCTAAAATTTACACATAATTCCTGCAATGTTTTTATAAAGCCGCGCACATAAAATTGTAATTTTATTTCCCATATTTCAACCAGAGGTTTTAGAAATTAACAGACGTATTTTATAGTTATTTTACCGTGATATTTGTTAAAGAGTAGTTCTAGCGAATGATATCTAAATTAAAAAGAGAGAGATGGAAATGTTTCCTTGCTTAATACACTGAAGTACCACTGAATTAGGGATAGACATGGTTATGCAAATTTTATAGCGCTGCGCGGCATCTGTGCTCTCGTGAGATGCACATACAGCTAGTACTATGGTTGTTGTTAATCAGTCGTTTCAATTACCAGTATGGGTAAAACTTCTGATTTAGAGAGCTTTAACCTCAGACAGTAGGCACTTGAAGCATGGGCTATTCAATTTCCAAAATCCTCAGCGGGCTAGGATTTCAAGTTAGACAGTGTCAAGAGTGTACTGAGAATACACGGATGATGGAAAAAGAACTAGCCATCGGGCAAATTGCAAAGGACAATTAAACTAGAACAAGCGGGGTGTGAGATGGCTCAGCCGTATTGTACATAGTCAACGAAGCCCAACATTAGCTCAAATTACCACCCAGCGAAATCATGGCGACAGTCGTACAGTCAGTAAAAGGATCGTGCAACGCTCGCCTCACCATGGGCTTCGGAAGCTGTAGGCCTACGAGAGTACTTTTGCTGAATGCATGCCATAGAGCTGCACTTCTTGCGTGCGCAAGAAAATACAGAGAGCAGACTCTAGTGGACTTGAAATGAGTAGCAAGGAGTGATCAGTCTCGATTTCGACTAATTAATACCAATGGGAGGCTGAGAATATGGCGTCAGACTCATGAAGCCATGAACCCTGTACGGCAGACTGGAGCTGTACAAGACCATGGTGGCTTAATCATGGTCTGGGTTGTTTTCACATGGTCTGGGATGTTTTCTCTTGGGATCTTTGGTACTTGTACCAACCTCCCTCAATATGATTACGTACGTAGAGTTGTTGGGCGATCATCTCCATCCATTTATGTTGTCCTGTCATTCACACGGAAATGGAGTATCGCAGCAAGATGACTGCACCTCTCACAGGTCCCGGTTGGCTAATGCCTGGTTGGATGAGCGCTTTTCTAACTTCTCTGTCATACATTGGCTACTTAAAAGCCTTGACTTAAATTCTACTGAGCATATTTAGGACGTTTTGGAGAAAGGTTTGAAACCTCATCACACAACACTAGCGACTCTTATAGACAGCTCTATCCGATGTTTAGCAAGCCATTCCCGTAGAATGCTTCCAGAAACTTATTGAATCTATGCTTCGTCGTTTGGCAGCCATTATAAAGGCCAGAGGGAACCCAACCCGTTATTGACTAGCTATCCCTAATTCAGTGGCATTTCAGTGTATATGTACTCCCTTAAAAGTAAAAATAATATTTTCAGTTGAATCGGAAACTGAGCAGAGACTTTTAAGAAACGTGACTAATATTATGAAACTTGACTTGTTTATGAAAATATCCGTTCAAAAGACACTACCGAATTTTAGATTTTTCAAGTAATTGTGATAGTTTTATTTCATTTAATGAATACCTAATGTATATATTAATATTTATAAGGGTCAGTAAGTTAATGTTAGAAACAAAATTATCTAACTGCTAATGTACACTGCGCCAAAAAAAGGGGGGACAGTTTATATCTCCCGTTTTATTGCGCCGATTGACAAAATTCAAATTGCGTTTTTCATGTCTCGAAAGCGCGACTTATGATAAATATTAGATATATATATATATAGCACTGTTCTAACATAGGTATTTTGACACAAATTCGGACTTTTTCTGAAATAACATACCAATTTTTTGTCATATTTCGATTGCTCAAAATATGCCTGAAATTTAAATTCGGTAAAATTTGGTGCGAAATTTATGGAGAAATTCAAAAATTTCTCTTGGCATATATAAATTTACGTATATCGCCGGAAAGTTTGAATAAAAAAACTGTAATGTTTTGCAGATATGCTTCGAAATACGTCCACTTTAAAATGATAGTAAAAATATATTATAGATGATAGATTATAATTCAAAATGGTTTTGAAAAATTTATTAAAAATTATTTAAAAATACAAATTCTACACATAAATCACAAAAATGGGTGACTTTTATTTGGAATGAACCTGACTTTCGAAATGAGAAAGGAAGAATCAAATAAGTTTCATAAAAAGAGAGATTATTAAATATTAATTTTTTAAAAACTACTCATGCGATTTTTACAGAACTTGGTAGTTTGGCGTAAGTTGAGCCATAGAATGGAAATATGAAAAAAAAAATGGTATGTTATTTCAGAAAAAGTCCGATTTTGTGTCAAAATACCTATATTAGAACAATGCTATATATAAATCTAATACATATCCTAAGTCGCGCTTTCGAGACATGAAAAACGCAAGTTGAATTTCGTCAATCGGCCCAGTAAAGATATAAGGAAGATATAAGATATAGAACTGTCCACTTTTTTTTCGTAGTATACCTTAATTTGAAATGAAAATGGTTATTAAACTAATGTCCTAAGTACGTTGAATTAAGCAAAAATTAAAATAATTAACGTTTTTATTCATGCCCTAAGTACACAGAATTAAGCAAAAACTAAGAACATTAACGTTTTTATAAAATTGCATTATATCTTTTTGGAACATAAAAAGGCACAATAAATGAATATTTTGTTAGCATAAAAAGTACTTACGTCTTGTTTTAGCATGGCTGTCTCTAAGGATTTCAATAATTCTGGTTTCAAAACCAGTCCGCTCACAGGAGATGTTTCCGACTCCGACCCGGACTGATGCAGGGATGGAATGTTTTTCGAAGACTTCAAACCTCTGTGCATAGAATCTTCCAATTCGTGAATCGCATCTTTCAGGTAGAGAACAGTATCCGACGCAACTCTTTCCAACCCAACTTTGAACTTTTCGGGACTATCAGAAGTCAGGTTATTCAGATCAGCCGCAGACGAGTTGTTGGAAGATTTCATAAAATTTGATTTGAAGTTTTCTGAGAATTCAGATTGTGGGCTTTCTTCAATCTCCTCTGTTACTATGATACACGGGCTACAACTGCTGATAAGTTTTTCCAATGATGGTTCACTAAGGAGCGGTTCTAGAGGAAAATGTTTAACCTGAATGTCACTTTCCGATGAGTATAAAGACCATATACTTTCATCGATAAAAGGTGCTAAGGCCTTTTCTCGCCACAGCTCTTCTTCCGGTTCTGTGAGTGTAGCTTTTTCTGCAGTTTCTATTTTATCGTCAAAGATATTATCATCGATGTAGCTGTGCCTCGTACAAAAGACAATTTCATCACTGAAATTTGATTTAGTAGGCCCCAAATGCCATGTTTTTCTGTAATTTGAGAATCCAATTATGTCCTTTGGTTTTTTCCAATAATCTAACAGTGAGGAATAGTCTAAATCTTCTATTTTTTGTTTAACCTTTAAGGGGGATGATAGAGAATTTAAATCTTGAATTACGTTTACAGTTTTTGTTGGAGAGAACACTTGTTCTTTATTATGTGTTTTCATTTTGGATATCAGATCGACGTCAGAAAGAATATACTGCTTATATGTTTCATTAATGTTACTGGATGACATATTTACTTTTTCTTCAGGCAAGGATATGTTTCTAATAGTAGGCTTCACACTGGCAATTTGTTCCTTGTGTTTCAATGTGGCAAGTTTACGTGTTGATGATTGAAAACAGGTTGGCTCGGTCATTTCTTTGCCTTGTTCTTCCTCTTCTACAGGAAATTCGGTCGATAACTTTGAAAAGGCCACTTGATGTAGGGGACCAAATCCACTATCTGAAGAAGAGCACATAGATCCATCCAAACATTCTGTCACGCTATCATCACTTCGGTGTCCCTTTTCAGTGATTACGTAAGTTGCAGAATGTTCTGGTTCACTAACAGTAGTATCTGCGGTTGAATCGGGTTGCAAGTCACTGGACATCGTAGAATAACCTTCATCCCTTGTTCTGTTTACACCCTCCATGGCACTAGAAGCGTCGGATGTAGATGAATTCTGTTTACTACTGAATTCATCCGTTATTTCGCTATCCACATGGAATTTTCCATTTAGTTTATCTTCTAACATGTCGATGGAATGGGATATTGTTTTAGAACTTTCTGGAATTGATAAATCGTTACTCAATTCGCAATTAAAGCTCCAAATCTGTTGAGGACGAGGAAACGGTTGAATTGGCGATACAGCTGGATTATTGCCGATATTTTTGTAGAAAGAGGCTAAATCTTCGGTAGCAGCTTTCCGTTGTTCCCAACGTGTGTGGGTAGATTTCATTCTTTGTTTTGTATCTTTGGCGCCTTTATCGACAGGAGACCCATTTCTTGAGGGTCTTTTTCTTTTGACACTAGTCACTTTTAAACCCTCAGAAGAACTAGGAGATTTTATTTTCGATGATGGCATCACAGATGAATGTTTGGCGTTTGGCACGACAACACATGATGATGTTTCTTTTGCATGACTATCTCTTTTGTTCTTAGGCGAAAGCATATCTGTTTTACTTTTCTTACGCACCAAGACGGGTTTCGCGCTATTGAACGATGGTATTTTGGAAGCACTTCCTGGTTTTGAACCAGGGGACGTAGGACTGGTGACTGGGCTTTTGGATTCACTGTAAGAACATTTCGCCGAGGTGGTGTTTGCATTTTTTGATGATTCTTTCTTTTTCTCCTCTGTCGAGATGGAAGGATTTTGAGAAATGGAATTCTTTTTAACTGGTGATGACGTAAGAGGATGATGGGACGGCATCTTGTTTTGTACTTTACAGTTTGATGTTGATAAATTTAATTCTTTTTCGTCCTTTGCTTCATTAACCTAAGAAAAATACTAAAAATCAAATAATGTAAAAAACAAACAAATGATTTTAATTACTTTAGAATGCTTTTTATGAATCAAAAATATCTTTAAATACCTCTTTCTCATTTTAATTTTACGTAGGTCACTCTGAAATGTTTGAGACACGCAGAAGATGAGTAACAGAAAAAACATTAACAATTACATGCAAAAATATGAAATATTTTAGCCTATTAGGTGAATTTTTATTGACCAGTTGCAAGTAGTTTAGTGTAGAAAAAAATTAAGCAGAAGGAAAAATGAAGTTGACACGAGAACATTATCTTACCAAGATTTTCTATGATTTTAAAAAAAGGATTAAATCAAGAAGAAATACGTTTCAACGTCTGTAAATTAGCATTTAGAAAGAAAGTTCCATTTCGTGCTACTACATTCATATGGTTTACAGAATTTCACAGAGGTGGCAACTCTCTTCAGGATGAAGAATACACAGGAAAGCAATTTCCAGCAGTAAACCCGGATAATGTGTCTGCCGTACGGAAAATGTTAATCGATGATAACCTACCAAATGATACAGAAGAAACTTAACATTGGATTCTTCGACACACATAAAGTTATTCATGAAGAATTGCATATGAAAAAACTAGTTTGACGTCGGGTTCCCCATAATTTAACTCAGCACCAAAAAGAGGAGCGTGTCAGAATCAGTAGAGAAACCCTTAAATTACAACCGCATTATTTTTAAAATCGTAATTGGTGATGAAATGTGCGCACCATTTATTGACGTTCTAATACGTCAAAAACGTAAAGTATGGGACTTTGAAGATGATCCCTCGCCCCTATTGGGGACAAGACAACGCGCCGTGAGAAAAGTAATGTATGTCGTTTTCTTCAGAAGTACAGGATCGGTCAAAGCATCTAGCTGGAAGGACAGACAAAGCTAACTGGTACACCAGTTAGAAAGTCAAAGCTAACTGGCACACCACTATGTGTCTTCCACAAACTCTTCAAGAAGTGAATGTTAGATGACTTATTGTCCACCACGATAATGCCTCTCCTCATTCAGCAAGCTTGGCAGTTGAATTTCTTGAACAAAAGAACATCAAAGTGATATAACATACACTTTGTTCACCCGATCTAGCTATGTGTGATTTTTGGCTGCTTTTCCATCTAAAAACGAATTTTCGTGGACTTTGTTTTCCAAAGATGAGACTGTTGGGACTATAAATTATTTCTCAATTCGCAATTAAAACTCCAAATCTGTTGAGGACTAAATCTTCGGTAGTCAACTTTCCGTTGTTCCCAACGTGTATGGGTAGATTTTTTTAAATCGATTTCAATAAATGAACCGCTAGAGGCATTCAGTCTTTGGAAAATTCACCTACAGGGGTGCACTGAGAGGACTCACTACAGGAGACTATTTTGAGCACTCCTAAAATTTCGTGCCCACCAGCGGCCGAGCGGTAAAATCGCTGAACACTGGTAGTTCGGTCCGAGGTTCGAATCCCGCGAACGGGTTGGCTGCATGGGTGTTTTCGTGGTTTTCCCCATGTGTAACGTGTATACGAGCCAGTTTCCCTTAGAAAGTCCTCCACGAAGGCATCCCTCCCCTTAGACAGATAGGCCTAGTGTGCTTTGCCGTATTCTCAATACACCAACACCTAAAATTTCGCAAGTGTAACTTTAAAAACCTATGTGTACCTCAAAAAATTCAGAGTGATCCTCGTATTTATAATGAAATTCCGCAGATTTAACAGCACAATTTCTCAAGAATAAAGATAAAAGTATAATATCTTAATATATAAATAACTTTTTTTTAAAAAAAAAGAAGAGTTTATAGATATTAAATTGGATAAATTTATTATGATTACAAATTATATAAAATAAAAAAGAAATATTAAGAAAAACATTGCATTAAATGAATACATTCATCAAACAGAATTTTTTTTTAAGTCTCGGAGATTTTTTTTTCTGAATTTGATTTAATTTTTTTAATTTCCCTTAATATTGGAAAGGAACTTAAGTTTTTATCCAGTGGTATATACAGAAAAACTATTTTCGTATAAATATATGGAAACAAAAAAAAAAAGCTTGAGACGTAATTTTAGATCCATCAGTGTTGTTTTTATTTGTGTCACTTTAAAATTATGAGACATGTATTTTTTCCTTCCATGTAAATGATATGATGTTAAATTTTTCATATTTGTATTCTATAAAACTGAAAACTAGCAAGAAGATTTTTCCTGTTCTTGTTATAACCGTTGAAACTGATTATAAACATTATTTTTTTTAGGAAAAGATTTATTGTTTGTTATGTAAAGTCTTCAAACCTTAAAGATGGGATTTGAATTCTTGATAAAAACCATCCAGGTGGTCGGAAAAGACATCGTTTCAGCTTGAACTTCTTATTCGAACTTTTATTCACGTCGCTCGCACAACACATCTCAAAATATTTCCGTACAAAAAGATGCATTAATTTCAGATTCTCCCGGATCTTTTGTTTTTCAACGACCAGCTTAATATGTGTTCTGAGCTAGAAATAATGCGATAGATAAAAGAACAACTTACATTATCGTCTTTTTCTTCGTCGATAAGCTCCATCAATGTTCCATTTTCTTGCTCAAGTTGTTCTACTCTTAGATGCAGAACTTTGCATTCCTCCTCTAACCTCTGTAACCAAACAAAATTATTGATTGTATATACACATATCATCAAACAGACGTTTTACACTTTCTAATATATGCCAAAAAAATTCACATCGGTATAAAATATATCAACTACTTTAAATACGTATACTATATATTTATGAAACAAAGCAAGCAATTACAATCAACTTGTGAGGTTTATCTATTTATTTTTAACTAATAGTTCATTTTAGGTTTGACTACTTTCCTTTCAGTCTCTTTTCACTCACGCTTTTCATGCCATAATATAAATGAGAAAGCGAGAGTTTATTCAGATTAAGGTAGAAAGAAGTGCTTTTTAAGCAAGAGTTTCGGAAGTTAGTTTTAGAGCGTGTTTGCCTATTCCAGGCCACATTGTGCTGTGATTATTAGCGACTTGATTTAAGTGGCGTTGAGTGTTTCTAAGCCATCCAGCTTTGTCTCGCCGGTGTTCTACAAACCATAGCCTTGCTGCGCGTTAAAGTATTCTATGAGCCGTTAGGCTAATCTACCACACCTCGAATTTGTTACGTATTTCTGTTAAGCGAGAAGTACTTGGCTTACGTAAACATACGCTGGGTCATTTGTTAAGTTGTGTTCAAATAAAACGGTCTTATACATCCTTCTTCTGATTTTTGTTTTGCTTCACAAAGCTACAAGATCTTCAATAGTACTTTTAAAGTCTATAGTTTATGTTCCCAAAGAGATATAGACTTTAGGAACTTTACATTTATGTTGATCAACAAGCTCTGAATTTGAGTTATTATGTAGCTCTCCATTGTTTCGAGTTTATGATGTAAGGTCCGACTCGATAAATACTGAATTGAATGCTAATCAATAAGAATATGCAACTGCTATAAAATAGCTAGTTAATTATAGGATTCAATGTAATAACTACAATTGAATTTTGATAAATTTTTCCTTTAAGAAAGGCTTTTGATGTTCAGATTTTCTCCTGACTTATTCCTTTGGAAGGAAATATATCAAACTCCTAGAATAATAAGCAATTCTTCTGATGATTTCGAAAAAAAAAAAAAAAAAAAAAAAAAATTATCTATTTCAAGTCATTATTCATTATAATTAATAGAGGATAAAAATTCTTAAATTATATACACTTTGCATAAATACTCGTTTTGCTATAGGTATTTCTAAATTGTTCTAATGAACTTGGTAGTGTGTATGCTTTAGTTTCTGAGGAATATAAAGAATGCTAGCTTATTATGCGAATATACATTTTCGATAAGCATTTAATAACTTACAACCTGATAATATAGCTTAAAGAGTCTTATTTTACAACTGCTGCTAAATTTAACATCACACTTAGATTTTTAAATGTTCTTCAAATTCTACTTAAACATCTTGGATGATTAAAAAGTAAAATAAATTTTAGAATAACAATTTTAATTTGCAAATTTGTAAATATTTTAACACCTGCATTTTTAATGATACATAAATATTAATTTAGAAAGTCAAACAACAAAAATCAGCGTTATATTTGCAAATATTCACAGTTCTTCTTCCGATGGTTTTACCGAACCATCACCCTCAGCTGTCAAAGTACAAATGAAAAATATAAGATACAGTGAAATGATAAGATATGAATGGCTGAACAGGAAATTAAGCTACTGACGCCATCTATTAATGAAACATAAAAATTAAAAGATAATTTCATTAAAGGCTGAAGGTAATGATGGATTGGAATTAGGGTCGTTAACTAGAACAGAAAGATTTTTTGAATGTGAAACCCCTCTAGAAAATCTAATTCAGCAATGGAAGGTGTTTTTTGAATAATTTTGGCTGCAGAAAAATGGAAAGTGTGATTTTCAGACCAACGATGCTGGGCAACAGAGGATTTCTGTGTTTCCTTTTCCCTAGCATGTTCCAACTCATATTCTTTAACAATAAAAATAAATATCCCAAGGACTCCAATGAATCTGATAACTTCGTATTAACCTAAAATAGTTTACAGTTAGGAGATCAAGGCTTGTAAAGTTCTCTTAGTGAGGCCTGATGCCAAAACGTTGATAAATGAAAATTAAAAACATTTTAAATTCTTATAAGCCAGACTTATCCTCCATGCTATAGTGGGCATGGTAAACATTCCTAAACTTCACTTTTCAATTCTATTTCCCTTAAAATATTTATTTACGTATAGCGAAGCAACTATTGGAACAAAACTGAAATGTAATGCTTAGATAGGAAGCTGATTTCCTGCTCGAAAGCCTAATTATACGGACCTCACTGCAGGTTCAGTTAGTACCAACCTTCTGTACAAGTAATGTTTGGACCAGTCTATTGGCAACTTCATCTAAACATGTTTCATACTGCATCTGCTGCTGATGATTATTCCGCTCCATTTCGCCTAGTTTCTCGACCAGCATTTTTGCTTGCTCCTCTTGACTACGTGGACTCTACAATTGTATAAAATAACAGAAAATAAAACATTCTATTTTGTTTTTCTGAATAAAAACATTCTATTTTGTTTTTCTAAAAAATAAAGAAAATTATTTACAAAAATCACGTACCATGTCTTTGAATTTTTTAAGCTCGTTGATTAACATAAGATTGTCATTTTCCAGTTTCGCTATATACGTCTGGTACCTTCGGATGCGACTCTGAAAGAAATACAGCATGTGTTAAAAACACATTTTTTCCTTTTTGTGATTACTTTATACACCCCCAAAAAAGTTTTACTTACTTATCCGTTTGTATATTGTGTTTCTCCGAAAATAAGACCAAGTCTAAGACAAGTACTCTTGTAATAACGTTTGCTCCAAAACCCGCATTAAAGCTTATTTTCAAGGTATAACTTAATTTTTTCATGCAAAATAATTATCTTTTATCCATTTACAACTAACTGTCTACGTTTATTCTTATATTCAAGAATTTATTTTTATTAATTTATTCATGTGCAACAATGTGCATCTATTCAAGTACAGTCCTCTTCTTTTGGAACATCCTGTTAAAGGTCCCACCCGAATAATGGCTCATTCCATTTTCTGCCAACCCATTCATTGGCTATAATCACTCCCGTCTAGCACTTCTAATTTATGCAACCTGCTCGTCAAGAATTGGCAACACAGCTGCCAATGATTTTATCCTATGAATTCTTCAGCCAACTGGCGATTTCTTTTAGGCTAGCTTTCAATTTTCAAGCTGATTTCTCTTCATTTTATTTTCAGAGCGGTCATTGATTTTTATGCGCAAATTGTCCTTGAATGGCTTAGCTATTGTAGTTTGTTATTGCAGTTTGTAGTTTGGAAAGATGCATTCCCTTTTCTGGGAATTATAATCCAATCTTCTCTCTGCAAGGAAGTTCTTTGTGGGCAGTGCTGACCTAATAGTAGATTACTTTGACTACTTCGCAAAACAAGTGGTAGCATTCTAGCGACCCAGTACCTTATAATTGCTTGTGTTCGCAAGGTTTATCGGTTTCAAGAACATTAATACCTAAAATATATTTATTCTTATCTTTCTAGTCATTAGTGATTAGCAGAGGCCGGGTTTCTTTCCATTCAGATGAACTGCCGATTGACGAAGCACTTTCTGATGAACTTGCGTTTGAGATCATTAACCCAAAAATACTGAAGTTTGAATTAAATGTTGGAGAGTTGTTTTTATAACTCACTTCAAAAGCAAGTGCATGTTTAATAACTCCAGTATCTTCCAACTTAAAGCGTGTTGGAGATCTTCTTAAAGATAGCTATTGCCATTAAAAGAATCCATCTACACAAGGTTGTGATGCTTTAAATTTTTAACTAAATCTTGAAAAAATTTTCAATAGCCAGCCTACTTAACGATATTCCAAGCTGTAAATTTTTCGTCAAACTGAATTAGAAAAAATAAAACGGAAGTATGGGTATATTTGAATTGTTAGAAAGTTCTTACTAAAAAGTTACTATCATTATTATAAGTTATTAACTAACACATTTAATTATAATTATTTATTGCCTAAAGATTTGTGTATTATTACTATTCCGAATTCTTCAGCTAAATAAATTACGAAACAAATTAATACTTAAATTATATTAATATATTAAATTACATGTATGTAAATACGATCACTTTAACTGCACAACGTAGAAGTAATAAAAATATCTCAAACCAAATGAATTTATTATTACTTAGGAACAAAATAGTTTAGCTTTCAACGAATACTTACTTCATAGCCTAATAGAAGTGGTGAACTATTATCTCCAAGTGAACCTTCTGCATTGATAACCACAGGGTCTATTTGAGTACCTCTGGATTCAACACGTTTTTCGCTAAAAAGAGAGTATTTGATTTAAATTTGAAAAACGAAGAGAAGAAATACAATAGCTCATGAAACAAATACTGCATTAAAAGCTACTAACGCAGAGTAACAGTAAAAAATAAGGCAGAACAAATATTAAAAAAACTTGATTTTAAAGTGTAACGATTGAGAGAGTTATAGGAGGAACAATTTATGATAACGCATTAAAATTTCGTAAAATTTGTTTTCAGTTTTCCTTGAGATATTATCAGCTCCAAATTACTATCCTTAACTATAACATCTTTAGTAAAGTAAATAAAAGTGTATCAGAAATATATGAATGTTACGTACACTTTAGGTGGAAAATGAAACACAAAATTTTATTTCATAGTAATTTTACTTGTGAAAACAAACAATACTTCGTATTGTTTTATATAACACTAATAAGAGAAGTAAAATATATCTTTTAATTAATTATTTAGATGTTTAACTTTGAGGTCCCAAGTTTAAAAAAATTCCTTCGAATTTTTTTTACTTGATTTTTATTTAACCCAGAAGACGAAATTAATATAATAATTATAATTATAATTTTTATTAAAGGGCTATTAATTTCGTTTTGCCATTTTGCGTTGGTTCACTGTAAATGTCGGTTCACTTTTCAAATTGTTGCCACCAAATATTAGAGTCCTGTGTTATTTTTAAAGAAATTAAATAATGAAGAATCTGCATAAATGCACGGATGTTTCTCGCATTGTGAAAAAACAACGGTACCTAGAGCCATCAATTCTGAATAACATAATCTTCTACCGAATTTGGGCATCTGGAAGTCTTAATTTGGAATATGAAATTTGTTTTATTATTGATTTCATATTTTGTAACACTTTAACGAATTTTTGATTAGCAAACTCAACGATTTCAAAAAGATCAATGGCAATACTGTATGGGAAAAAAAAAAAAAATTCCAGGACGCGAGACTCTGTATCGGAAATTCTAAAGATATGCTTATTTTAAAATTATTTTGCGATATTGCTGTTAAACTGAATTTTATGGTTTAAATGCAAAGGACGTGATATTTAATAAATAAAGGTAACACACACAAAACGTTAAAAAAAGTCCCTTTGGTTCTTAAAATCTGAAAACTTTCAAATTTTTAAATTTTTAAAATTTTTATTTTTTAGAAAATTTACTTGGAATGCCAGAGTTCTGCGGAGCACAGTTACCACATCATAAAATAGTTGCATCATATTCAGTAGATCACAAAATACTTTTCCTTACTCTTATGCCTTTTCGAATTTGTAAACTGCTTAAAGGTAATTATTAGAAACGTAATTATTAACATTATTCTAATGTCAATACAGTACATTACAGACATTATTAGAAATAATTATTAGAAACACCTAAGCGTTGAAAATAGTTGGAATCTTCATTCCCTGAAGATTCAAGATCTTCAGGGAATGAAGATTCCAATTCCAACTACTTTACCTCCAACTACTTTACCTCACCTGCAAGCAGATCAGAGAATTCTGAAATTTATGCATATCATAATTACTTTCTAAGCATCAGTAGTAAAAGGAAAAAACTGAAAGCTTTCATATTTTATATTACGCCCAAAGGGGCGTTTTTCTTTAACGTTTCCTGTGCTTCCTTTATTTATTTAATACATATTCTTCGCACTTAAACCTTAAAATTTAATTTAACAGCAATATCACTAAATATTTAAAAACAGCACATCTTTAGAATCTCCTATACACAGTTTCGCGTGCGGGAGATATGGCAACAATTTGAAGCGTGAAACGTGCTTTATAGTGAACCAACGTAATGTGCCAAAACGAAATTAATAGCCGTTCTGGGCAAATTGCCCGTTTGGGCTAATAAGATAACACGCAGTAATTTTTATTCAGATATAAATTATAAAAGTATGAGATATATATAAAATATAAAAACAAACTGAAGTAATACTTTTCAAATTATGAAAAAAGAGGGCTTCTGAAAACAACAAATTTGAGTCAATAGTGGAACAGTAGGCGATGGAAAAGGATAGCTGTGAAGAAAAATAATATGTCTATGGCAACTTCTACCCACCTCGATGTTGTAAGATGTTGCAGTTGGCGTCGTCCGAGTTGTCTTCTCGACGTTGGACTGAGCGGCATCTTACAAATATGTCTGAAGTAGACTGTGTGGTCACACGCTTTGTGTCATCGCAGATGGCCGTCTAGCTAGACATATCGAAATGGACTCCCCTTCCCCTAACTCTGCAAAGCTATTGGCTAGGCAGTCCCATCTAAGGGGGTATAAAATCATTGAGCTTGGCAGTGTCTCGTGACCTGTGCAGGTAAAACTGCCCTCGTTTTTTCGAGTGGCACACAGGGTGAGGTGGACATCCCTCCGTGTTAGATCCAGTGTGGGCTTCGGGCATTTCGCGTAGTACTTGGTAGGTAGCATTTTCCAACGACCAGTTAAATGTCCTGGCGTTCATGTTCCCACCGCTGTGAAACCTGGGAACCAGGAGTGGTGACCCCGCCCGACCAAGAGGTAGCAGTGGCTCGAGAGAGTTCTTTCAACGTCTGGTGTCTTGGATAGGGAACCCTACGCTTCTTTTCTACTCGCAAGGGGACTTTGATGACTGAGTGACCACTTCCTTAATACGAAGATTTTTCTCAAGAGGGCAACAGCCCGTGTAGAACCATGCGGAACGCTTATCTAATTTGTATGTACACCGAAATGGATACCACGGATAACAATTTCGAACCGCTCGGTGTTCGGATCCATCAATCCCATTTTTGTAAATTTCGTGATATCTGGAGTTGAGGATTCAATAAGTACAGTATTCTCTTTGGAGTTTTGAATTGTTTACGAAGCCCATGTTGTTAACTGGTAGGTTTCAGTTTAAACGCTGCGGCTTTTACCTACTTAACGGAATTGTGAATTTACTTAAATCAGAGAATTACTGTACACTCAGTGCTATCCTACGAATGCTTTTAAGGCAATTTTTTTTCAAACCTTTTTTAGTTCGCGTCCAAATTCGAAGGATTATAGATGCTGAAGTTGATTACAGTGGAAGCTCGAGATACGAGCACCTCTATGTACGAGAAATTCGAGACAGGAGGAAAGTATGAGCGAAATATTCGTCTCTAAATACGAGCATCGACTCGAGCAACGAGCAAGGACACAGGCTGTTGGTATGCGGGGCGCCATTTCCCGATCCGGCTCGATTCGGGGAATCCCCTCGTCAGATCGCTCAGTGTTCTTTGATCTACGTGTTTGTGCGTTTGTGACTTAATTGTTTATTACATTTAACGTGAAAATAATTATTTCACTATGCCTCCCCAGAAGATTGTTGCCTCAAATAGTAAGGAATCCATGGCCGGATGAAATTAAGAAAGAAATCATAGATAAACATAAGCGTCGTGTAAGAGTGATGGAATCGGCGAAGACTTACGGCCTTTCGACATCGACACTATTATGGAAAAGAAAGAAGAAATTAAGAAACTTGATGTAGCCAAAGAAGTTACCGTTACTTCCAAGCACAGTCCAAAACTCCTAGAAGCTGCTTAGCAGCTGTTGTTGGTGTGGAATAACCGTTAAAAGGACGGTGTCGGAAGCTATCTTAAAGGTAAACTATTTATTATATTATTTACCAATGTTATTTATTAGACAAATTGATTTTTATGTCGATATTTCTGGGGCTGCGGAACGGATTGACTGGATTTCCATTATTTTCAATGGGGAAGTTCGTTTCTAGATACAAGAAATTTGCTATACGAGCTCAATGCTGGAACGAATTAAACTCGTATCTCGAGGTTTCACTATATATGCGTAAACACATAACCAAGTTCGCAACTCATGAAGTGGTCACAGAGGACACCTAACTGGTGCACAATCTTATTATACTAAAAACCACCCATTTACGATTGTTATCCTTAGAATCTTGCTTTAGTTCCTAGAGAAAGGAACTTTTCAGTCAATCAGCTAGAAAAGTTGTAATACTTATTGCTTTTCAAAGGTATTTAAATTCTATTTTATAAAGTAATATTTAACGTTTCTTTCGAAAGTTTTCAAGGATACTTTTTCAACAAGCGTTACTAAATGAAAAGAAATTATATATTTTTAATATATTAAGTTCAGGACAGTGAATCTTCACATATCCTGCAACTAAAATTAAATTCACATTTAAAGAAATTTCCAGCCGACAGTTTGCTGTAGGACTACGGCAGCAGAAAATCCTGTTTCACTGAGGTATGGCGTGATAAGAAGGCATAAATTTTCAAAACTTTCCTGAGATTACCCTCAACTAAGTTTGACTGAGAAAGAAAGAAAACTAAATTTAGCTCGAACAAAGGGTAAAGCAGGAACAACATCTCGACGTATTCCCCCGTTCTTTTACAAAAGATAATATATTTAACTTTGAAAAAAAAAAAAAAAACTTACTGTACCATTAAAAGAATTTATAACAGCGTACATATGACTTCAAAAATCACAGGTTTTATTGTGCACATATCTTGCAATATTACATTTAAGTCGAAAACGTAACACTAGTGGTGGAAATAGATCATACTCACGACACGAGTTATGAGACCACCCATGTTTTAACCGCACGCGAATTCGAAAATTTATTTTAACTTTTCTGGCTCTGTTTAAGGATGTTAATTACAAATGTTAACGATTCCAGCGTTTTTATTGCTTTTATATGCAAATGAACGTAATGAACAGAAACACAACTAATTATAGCAAAACTTGCGTTAATTAAAATAGCCTAAGTAGGAGATTTTCAGTGCAGGGGATAATTATTCACAATTTATAGAATTAACTTAAAACCCACAAATCCGGCAGGTAAGGTAAATGGCTGAGCAATGTAAGACATTTTTTTAACTATCTTAGTTAAAATACTTTTCTGAAAATTAAAAAATCTGATATGTACACCACATGACTTCCTTGCACGGAATATTAAATTATACACATTTTTGGCTGCATTTCATTTAAACTCTTTTTCTCGAATTTCATTAGAGATTACTTCTCATTCAATTAATTCAG